GCAGCCTCAGCAGCTCCGAGGGGAACCGGGATGGCTCCGAGGGGGTCATTTAGGGTAGCCAGAAGCAGGGTGGTTTGTTGGGAAGCAGGACAAGCGAGATGAATTAGAGCAGCCAACGCTGCTCTGCAGCGAAGGGACTGTGCTGGGTGGCTCTGAAGGGACCTGCTGATGTCCTCGGTGGTAGGACCACCCTCTCTGGGCACAGCCAGGGAGATATTTTGGGGCTTTGTGTAACTGGAGTACCATTAGCAAGAGGAGATGGGCTCCAGGGCACTCCCCGCTCTGCGACATCCCTTGGGAACTTACCCGAGTTCGGTCCTGTGAGCTGTGGCTGGGACGGCACCGGAGAGGGCAGGATCAGGCTCATCTGCAACAGAGAGGAAACTCCAAGGTCAGGGCCCGAGTGAAGCTTCTTCAACACAATTTGCAATAAAAGTGATTTTTTTTTTTTTTTGCGCGGACGTGTGTTAAAAAAGCTTTCCCAGCAGATAAAACCCTCTCTGCTCCTGCTGCCCGTCCTTCCCTCCTACAGCCGGGTCCGGATTACGGGAGGATTTCCAAGCCACACTTAAGAGGGTTTAATCCCGCGCGCAACTATTTGATGTATAATCGTTCCTGCAGCTAAGCAGTTTAACGGGAAGATGCACATGCCGCTGGCCGCGCTCCTGACGGAGAGGTATCCGGCACGGAGCCGCGGCCGAGCAGCTGGATCTGGCTTGTCTTGGTCCACCCTACAGAGAAGATCGGTTCCCCCAGCTCTACGGACGGGGCTCATAAGCCTCCGCGGCACCGGCACGCTTCCTTGCCTTTGGACCACCGGCACGCGGGGTTTCTCCAGGTGCCCAACCATCACCCGAGACTTGGAGGCGCCTTGCTTCGCTCCGGTGTTGGCCAAACCCCTGGGATGGCTCCTGGGCTAAATCACCTCCAAGCCTGCCCACGAGAAGGTGCAAGGCAGGACTTCAGGCAGCGACCCCAGGCAGGCAAATGCCTCCCGAAGATCGGCAGGGCCTGCTGAGCTTTGTCAGACCCAGATAAATTCTTCCTCAGGAGGAGGAAAACCTTCGGCTGTGTCCGATGAAGACATCTGGATCGAAACTACCTGGCCCAGAGGCTCCATCAGCCAGGGCTGAGCTCAGGGCAAGGCATGGGGGGGTCTTGCTCCCCATGCCGGATCCCCTCCGTCCTGCTCCAGCAGCGCGTCGCCCGCCCCGGCTGCGTGGAAAGCAGGGACTCGCTTGTTATTACAGGCCAGGCTGGGAGCTTGGGGAAGCTGAGGCTTGGCTGGGTAAATCCACATTGTTTACCAGCTCCAGGCAAAGCAAGCTTGCTGTTGGGACAAGGAACTGTCCCGCGTCCCTGCTTCCATCATCATCATCATCTTGGGTCACGGGATGCCCAGCAGCCCAGCCCCGGGCAAGCAAGCTCACTGCTGGAACAAGGAACTGTTCCATGTCCCTGCTCCCATCATCATCATCATCTTGGGTCAGGGGATGCCCAGCAGCCCAAGAGTTGCCTGGGGCTCACCGGTGGGGTGGAAATAACCAGGAAGGCAACGGGAAGGAGGTGTCCACAGCTTAACGAAGGGTGCAGACCTGGCACAGACTATGCCTGGGGCTCGTGGAGAAAAGGGACACGCCAGGAGCAGCTCAGCCTCCACCACGCGCCATCCAACGACCCAGAGAGCCTTTGATGTTGAACATCAAGATGAGAGAGCGCAGGATCAAGCTGCGCGTCCTGGGAAGGAACCCGGGAGCGCTTTGGAAACACAAGGCCAAGGAGATGGGCTTTGCTGCAACGGTCTGCAGGCTCAGCCCGCGAGAGCCTCTACAGCCCAAACTGACCTCCGTCCCCTCCGGGATGGACACAGCCGCTCGCAGTTTGCATTTATTCTATGGATGACCGGTCACGTGCCGTAAAACCAGGAGGAACGTGGTATTCAGGCCACCACGCTGGTTATGGAGATGGGGCAGGCAGGGCAGGACCTGCCCCAAAAGCAGAGGAGGGAGGCGAAAAGCCAGGGTTGGCTTCCCACCCTTCTGACATCTCAGGTGAGCCACCTCAGAGGCGAGACTTTTAAGGCTGAGCTTCTCCAACGCGTAGGTCTCATCCAGGGACGACGGGGTCGGAGCTCTCTCACCGCACCGCAGAGCTGCGACCGCGCACGTCGCCGGGGTTCATCCAGCATCGGCACCGTCAGAGCCCGTCCCGGAAAGGCGGCAGCATCCCTGACCCTCGGATCAGGTCCTTTTGGCTTCCAAATCATTTCGGAAAAAGGCCGGCAGGATTTAGGGCCAAGCTGCCGAGGTCACGGAAGACCGGGAGCGTTCATCCAGGAAAGCCTGAGTCACCACCTGGCCAGGGCGGGAACGCCAGGGGAAAGGATGGGGGGAAAAAACCCAACCCTCCCAAATCGGCAGATTACAAACACTTCCATAAATCCCTAGCACGAGGACGGAGGGGGGCAGAGAGCACCGAGAAAGGACAGTAGCAGGAGCCTTCCAGGGACTCTTTTGTTCTCCGGAGCTCCAGCACGGCTCCTATTTTTAGAAACTGTCTCCTTTAGAGGAAAACACGCGGTGATTTATCTTTCTCCTGATGAGCACGTAACTGCACTCCCTGCAAATCCTGGTTTCTTGGAAACAGCAAGAGATGAGGGAGTTTAATGTCTTGGACTTAGGAGGCTCAAATTTACCCTCTATGGTAATCCAGCAAGAGCTGCTCCTCCAACCACAGGAGCGTGGCTGCCGCTTCTCCCGGAAGGGCACGGCAAATCTGAATTCATTTTTGAGCTCACGGTCCCTCCTCCAAGAGGTCAAACGCCCTTGTATGGGGGCCATCGCTCTCTCCTCTCTGGTTTTGCTCTATCCCAAGAGTTAAAGCAACCCAGCCAGGACATCAAGACGCTTTCAGAATCCAGCCGTCATATAAGCCCATGGCCAAAACACACACAAAAAGCCAGAGATAAGGGAAAAACCCGTGAGTTTCCCAACACAGGAACAGCTAAGTGGAGACCAGGAGCTCTCCCAGACGCGGCTCTAGATAAATTTGGCAATGGTTAATTAGACAACACGTTTCAAAGGTCGCGGATTGAGAAAATACCAACGTCTCCAGGAGAGCTGAAAGAGCCCTGGCTCATCGAGGCCGTCACGGGTTGATAAGCAGAGGTTAACGGCATGCTCAAGAGGCTCAGCCGTGTATCGGGGTGCCTAAACCTTCACCACCACCACCTCAAAGACCACCAGGATGCACCTCAAGGTGTTTTTCCACGTCACCACTCTTTGTATGGCAGGTGCTTCCTCCAGAGAGGGTCTGGGTCTTTGTACCAGCGCTACTCAACTGGTATTTTAAGACTAATGACATGCTAAACGGTAGCTGGGATAATTAGCAAGGTTGCTCCACTGCGTCAGGAAGTCAGAGAGATGCCGATAGAACCAACATCCAACAAAGCGAGCCCAGCGAAGGTCCCCAGCCACCAGGGACTGGAGGAGGGCGTGATGAATGAAGGCAGGCTGGGGAAGTTGGGCTTGTTCCCCTTCGTGATGAGAGCACCAAGGTGCTGCCTACAGCCACTAATTGGAGGGTTCTAATTGGAGGGTGTAGAGAAGATGGAGCCAAACTCCTCCTGGACACGCACAACGAGAGGACAAGGAAGTCACAACAGAGGAAGCCCTTCCTTCTGAGAGAGTTGGGTATCCCTGGAGAAGCTCAAAATTCAACTTGATGGGGCTCGAGCAACGTAAATTTGAAGTTGGCTGTGCTTTGAGCACAGGGATGGGCTGAAGACCTCTGGAGGGTCCTTCCAGTCTCAATTACTCTGTGATTTTAAGATTAAAAGCCCAAAGAAGTTCAAGAGTCTAAAGCGAAGAGGTCTTTTGGATGGTTTCCATCAAGACCCTTGACCACCTCGAAACAGGGAGAGGATCTCTCTCCTGAAGAGTTGAGCCAAGAAACTATATTCTCCTGGAAGTTTCCTACCCAGCTCCCAAATGATGTCTAGTGACAGTCTAAAAGAGCATAAAGGAGCAAAGATTTAAAAAACCCCTCTAAAATCCAAAAGATAGTATTATTTCCCAAACTTCAAAAGCTGTTCAACTGCGTAGGACTCCATCCCCTGAACTCAACAGGTTCCCCTTCCACACAATCCTCTGGGACGGAGGAAGGATACCTCCACATGCTTCCTTCATCTCGTATCTCGGCGATAAAGGACGAGGAGGGAGGCTCAGCTCCAACTCAAGCTCTCCAGCAGCTCCCAGATCAGCTGGGTTCCCACTGCAGAAGGACCGGCACTTCCAAAGGACATCGGTCTGAGGGTGGGGTGAACCAGTCTCCAGTCAAGGGAGGGAAAAAAGAAAAAAAAAAAAAAGAAAAAGAAAAAGAAAAAAAGAGAGGCTCCTCCAGAAGGTGATGACTTGGTTTGGACCAGAACTGGACTCTTCAAAAATCAAAAATTAAGCCAATTGGACAAAGAATTTGCAATACCACTTTTTGGAGCCATCTGAGGGTGTCCAAGAATCCCCCAAACCAGCTGATCACCTCCAAAAAGCCTGCACTGAGCCGACACGTGCTCTCCCAGGCTTTGTTTTTTTTCCCCAGCTATCTAAACGAACTGAAAAAAAAAAAAAAGAGGCAAAAAGAGACATTTTAGCTCCTCTACAGCCAGGCCACGGGACCTTGCCGTTTCAGCAATGGGATTAGGCAAGGGGTGAGTTATTGCATCATCTTCCGAGTAACGCCTGATGTCGCAAGCGTGATTTAGCGCTGGAATTAAAGACTAGCTCCTACTTAAGGCTCAGGCTTTAATCTCAGGTGTTTAATTTCAGAGTAAAAAGGTACTGGAAGAATCGTTCATTGGCACCAGCAGCTGATAAAAAAAATTTTGGCTCCGCACGTGGCCTTTCATGGTCCAAAACCACAAGAGCAACCAACAGTGCCAAAAAAAAACCCCCCAGCAGCCGGACTCGCGCAGTGGGATCACTGGTTGACAGCAGCGGGAAAACACCACGTCCCCACGCCGCGGCGGCGCCGGAGCCGAGCGGTGGCCAGGCTGGGTGTTCACCAGCGTGCTTCCACCAGACCCATCCACGGGGATTTCTGCCGCATCAGATGGCGCAGATTTGGGTGCAATGAGGAATCCCGCGCTGGAAACACTTGGCCAGCCAGGGCTGTAAGACGGCCGATCTCCAAATCCATCCCAGGGCCCCAAACTTGGCTCTTCCAGCCCACAGCAGCCGTGGCAAGACCACCTCTCCAAGGCCACATCCATGCTGGCAGAGCCACAGCAGGTCCAGCCCAAGCTGGGCTTGTGTTTGCAGCGCGAACAGTGGCGTCCGGCGGGCCAAGGTGCCGTCAGCACCTCCGCTCGGC